GCATGGACAGAGCTATATGTAAACCCCTCTGGAAATATTCTACATCAATTTGACATCTATGTCTTATGGAATTTCATAATCAAAAAGTGCATGGAAAAAAACATTTTCACTAAAAAAAGTCCTTCCTGCACAATCCTGATACTTTTTTTTCAGCTCTAATTTTAATACTTTTCTAATTTATTAAATGTGTGCAAAGGCTTTGAACATCTCCAAACTCTCTTTCTTTATCTAACAGCTGATCCAACAACAGAACAATCCTGTTGTTCCTGGCTTATGAGTGGTATCAAATAAACAGATATTAAGGAATCCCTGGACCATAATATTCCTATAACGTACATTTTTAAGAAGTCACAACTGGGAGAATCTAAAATTCTTTTTTTTCCAGGAACCCTCCCCAACAAAAGACATAAGGAAAAGACAACTCCAGAGATTTTTGTTCAACTGCAAGTGTAAACATAGGGCCATTGCTGCTATCAAATATAAGAACGATATCGCCTACCTGATTTGGGCTTTTGTTCAGCGTAGTGGCCAAGGAAACAAAGGTTTTGCTTGATGGTCCTTTTCTCTGACATTCCAGTAAAATTTCTCGGTCATCATTTCTAGAGCAAAAATGCATTTTTAAAATATTAATACACATAGCTGTGTTCATGCACACAAACAAAATAATACACACAGGCATTTATAAAGTTTTGAGTATTTCCAAACCACAGAACAGGAGTACAAACAGCAGCAATGAATTTACAGAGCACCCTCTCCTCTACCAGGACAGAGAAACAGAGTTAGTACGAACAAGTAGTAATGCAGATTATGCTCCACAAATACAAAGGGCAGGATTATTACAACAGAGTTAGCAACAAGCCAAAGTTTTTGGAGTTTTAAGATTCTAAAGTAGACATTTAAACTCGAATGGAAAGGAAGTCATAAATTTGACAGGGGTCAATGGTTCCAGGTGGGTTTGCCTCAGTTTGCAAGGCTAAAGAGCAGATTTCATGTAGGGCCCACTGCCATTCAAAGATTGCCCAGAGAGGTGTTTGACTTCTATAAGTGGCTTACTGTAACAAACATACTCAGAGCACATCTGCTGTTCACTTGAGAATAAAGAACCTGGAGGCCAATTCTTTAATGTGAGTCACTGATTTGTTGTCTCATTAATGAATTTAGGCAAAATGTACATAGACACAGTCTTTATATTCCGCTGAAACCTGTCATATTCCGATAAACTACATTTAATTTCTTCCACTTCAAGAAAAAAATGTAATGACTACTTATTTAAATAAAGTTGGGTTTTTCAAGTATTGTTCTAAAATAGACAAAAACTGTGACACTGAAAACTTAGTCATATTCCTGTGGAAAACTGTGACAGACTGTTCCTACCTCGTTGGTTTGTACATTAAAAATCACATTAGCTCTTACTGTCCTTTTTTCCACGAAGAAGTTAATTTTCTTTCAAGATGCTACCCAGAAACTTACTTTATATCTGAACTACAGTTTAGACAAGCCTGTTCTGAAAATCTCAGAAGCCCTTTATAAAGCATCGATTGCGTTGAGTTGTAGCAAGAATAGCAAAACCTGCCAACTATAGTTTCTTAAAAATAAGAATACACCACAATAATTTTGCATGCATTGTCAACACATACAGTCATCTCACTTGTCACCCACATCCTGTCCTGCTAATTGGGGCTTTATGGGTTGAACTGTTGACTGGTACATTTCTGCAGATTGAGCAGCCTAGGCCCCAAAACAAAAAACTGCTCTCATGCCTTCTTAGTGAAGGAAATCAAAGACCTCCATCCCCTACCAAGCCTGGCTGGAATTTCTGGACAGCAAAAAATACGGGTAGGGGAAATAAAAACTACAAACAGTATAATACAGGTCTTGTTATTTGTTAAGGCATGTAAGTTTTAAAAAGCAAAGTGAAGAGGACACTTTCTTTGGGAGTTCTGGGTAAGTGATGGACATCAATCTCACAGAGCCATCCTGCATAGACAGGAGGCTCCCACTCCACTATTCACAGCAGGATGTAGAACTAAATAACGTCAGTCATTGGCTAAATATCCTTCTCTTCCCTCTCTCCAGTATATCACATAGTTAAAAAAAAAAAGCTAAGCCACTCAAACAGATCAAATAAGAAATTACCTTGTCCAGGAAACTACTACCTCTCCCTTCTTTTTAATGATGTTTTTGGCATACAGGCTAGGTGATGATGGAGATGAAACCAAAGGAGAAGAGTCTTTGTTCTGCTGCAGCTCATTCTTATTGGAGCATTGTTTGGGTGGTGAATTTATTTCTTCAGACTTGGCATTACTTTCATCGCTCCCCTCTCCTCCTGAGTCAGTTTCTTTTCGTTGCCTTTTTGAGTTGAAATTATCTTTGATAGCCTCCTTTTTCCTCTTTTTACTAGTTTTATCCTCTATACTTAACTGGCACTCTCCATCAGTCTTTGAAGAGGGTTTTGTTTCAAGATTACATTCGCCTGCTAGACTCTCACTGGAAAGCTCTTCTGTTAAGTCTATAGATGCACTGAAGCATTCTTTCAGTTCTTCCTTTTTATCACTGACTTCTGGGTTTCCTGTAGAAGTTGGCTGTGTCCCATTATCTGCTCTGGATTCCACTGCAGGACATGAAGTTCCACTGACAATATCATCTGCTAAGTTTATGTATGACTTCATGCTGCATTCAGCAGGAAAAGAAGCTTGAGATCTAACATGCATTTCAGTCACGTTTTTGGATACTTTCAACTTGTGTGCCTCAGACTGCTCAGGGCTTTTATCTGGGCTTTCAGTGTCGCAGCTCTCTGTGTTTGAGGGCCCAAGCAAACCAGTAGTTTCTTCCTTTCCAATACTATTATGTGACTCCTTTGGAACCTGAGGTAAGGCACGGTTTTGTTCATGTTCAGCCCAGACATGAGGCAACTGATCCATCTCAACCACATTTGGTTTGACAGTTTCTTTCACAGTGGCTGCTGTGGCACTCTGACTGCCCCTTTCTTTTCCCCCAGTTCTTATTTCTTCTTTTCCAATCTTTGTTGGGGATGTCTGCACCTCCTTCACTGAAGTCATGCGATCAGATGCTGGTGAGGCAGATGGCATTGCACGCCTGATCTTCACAATGAAATGATCATTGGATTTCTCCATGATTACTGCTTGCATTGGTAGGGTGGGGCAACACTGAAAACTGGGAGCAATGGGCCGACTTGTCCACGATGATGAACAACTTGATTTACTGCTTGAGTTATCCGATTCTAAGGCCAAATGAATGTCTTGTTCAGTGGCATCCTCCTCTCCAAGAAGTGCATCTTCACTGTAATGTGCACTGACAACACCCTCGGGAGTTGAGCCAGAATTATTCTCAGGTTTTAGGAAGCTGAGGTGAGCATCTGATTTCAAAGGTGATGGGATAGTTAAAGAAACAGCCAAATCTTCAAGAAGGATAGAAGAAACACACGATTTATTCTTCTGTAAGTTACATTCATCTTCTTTGCATGAAGCTGCGTTTGTAGAAACCTCAAACATACAGCTCTCATCCAGCACATCTGGATCAACAGGCATATGAGTCCTGGATGCTAATGAGGGAGCTCTTACAGGTGAAACAACAGTCCAGTTAATATCCTCTTCTGGTTTAGATTCCACACATGCCTCCTTTGGAGCAATCTCCTGCCCCAATTCTACAGCATTACCTCTGCATTTGTGACTGCCTAAAAACGGTTTTTCTGGAGTCCTGAATTCACACTCATTTCTGTTGATATTGCCACCATTTTTTTCCAAGAGATCAGAACCTTGTAATAAGCTTTTGAAAATTTCACCCATTTGAGCATCACTTACAAGATTAAATGTAAGACTGGATGCTTGCTGTTCTGTGAGAAGCTCATAACTAAGATCAGACTTGTTAGCATCTCTGGATAGCTGGAATCCTTCTTTTTCATATTTAACAGTCTTCAGTGGAGTAAGAGTGCCTTGCAAATTATTCTCTTTAGAGAAGTGCACTTTAATTTGAGAATTCCTTGTGTTATCAATGGAGTTAAGACATTTTGTAAAGGCAGTTTTTGGCGCACCTGTTTTATTTTTCTCATGGTGACACTTGGGTTGTTGATAATCCACAATCTGCTTTGAAATGATAAATTCTTCAGGCTTTTGAGAACTGGCCTTCAGGGACTTTTTTCTTGATCTCTGCACATCATTTTGAAGACCAATCTTGTGGTTTTGCTTTCCTGCCCTTTCAAACTTCCCCTCCTCACTCCCATTTCCCACATCACAAAGCTTTATTATAATTCTCCTTATCTTTTCAAATAAGTAATCAAGCTGTTCATCTACAAATTTCCACAACTGTTTTTTCATATCTGATACTTGCTGTTCAAAAAGACGGTCCACTATTGCATTCTTTTTTACTTTTTTAAGTTTAGACTCTATAATATCACAGATACTCAATTTTAATGTATCACCTAATGTACACATCTTGGAAAAGTTCAAGTATCTTATTAATGCTGTAAAATTTATAATACCAGATTCTATAATTCTGTGAAAATGCTGAACTGGGAAGTGTACCTTGAACTTCATGTAACTCTTCCTCATCTGTTTTCGTACAGCTCTTAGCATCTGCATGATTTCTTGTATATTTGAAGGTTCAACAATAACATGAACTATTTTTTCAAGACAAGCAATGCTCACAGTTTTGTTCTTCTTCATATCCCTTGAAGATCTGACTTTGAAAGTCTGACTTTTATGCCTCTCTCCGTTCTTCTTTGTGCTTACTTTCACAGAAATGAATTTTCCATTATCTTCATTGCAATGCACAGTTTTGCTGTTTTGATTCTGCGGACTGTTGGCCAAATTTCGTGTCTCAGAAGAAGCTTTTGGTCTTGACTTTTCCGTATTTTGAGAACCTCTTTCTGGTTTAGATTCTTCTTCATCGCTACTTACAATTTCTCCTTCTTCTATTTCTTCAGAAGAGATACTCAGCCGAGACTCCACCTCTAAGTGTTCATCAGACATGCTAACGGGCTTTTGATTTTCTTTGTTTAACTCCTTTGACAAATTCTTTGAGGGACAGATGACAACCGTACTTTCAGGAATTAAATCTATAAAAGAAAAACAGTTTGCTAATCACCATAAGGAATATAATTATAAGCAGGTATTTTTCTCCTGTAAACGAACTGTTCAGACCTGTTTGTTTGAAACTGGCAGCAAGTTTGAGCTATAACAAGTTTGGGTGGTTTGCTTCAGCAGCTGCTAGTTTAAGGGAATTTTTTGAGCTTTAAGGGGCAAATTGAGCTTTATTTTGAGCAAATTTTGAGCTTTAAAGGACCTCGACGTTTCACCAAACATATGTGAATTATCACAAAAATACATCAATTAAAAACACAAAAATATAGCAGTTTCCATCAGTTTTAAATTTCTTTCCATTTAGTTTAACCAGTTCTCTGAACTCTGCACAAGCTAAATTATAACAGTCACATTAATTATGAACTAACCTACGTTTAACTAACATTTACATACAATAAGTGGCTTTTAACAGTTTCACAACAGAAACACAATGAGAACAAGTTATCTATTAATGTTTTAATAATCCTGTAAAGGATTATGGTCTGAAACATAAGAAAACAGATTTCAATGCCACCCTACATTCATCTTCTAGTAAGAAATTTAAACTTCCAAGTTACTCTCAAGTACTCTTGTCAGCTTTCTCACAAATATTGGAAAGAATATGGTCCTAAGTAACTTCTGCCTCCAGAGAAAAACCTAACGAGATCTACCCAACACTAGGCAAAATTAAGAAACCTATATGCATTTTTTAGTAAGTTAATACGAAACTCTTATTTCAACTAGTCATCTGTCAGTAGTGACTAGCTCCAATTTTTGTAGCATGAATATTCAAATGGCTACAATCTTGGCTGCAACATTAAGTGGTTCCACTACAAAAAAAAAAAAGGGAACAGAGAAACAAATGCAACTTAAGTAGAAACAATTTATATTTTTGAGAAAGGAATTAAAAAAAGTAATTTCTGCTTTCCATGAGCGAATCTTCTAAGCCTTTATGAAGAAAAGAAATTAGAACACACACATTCCAATACCTTTGTTATAAGTCTTCACAATGCCTTTACAGGGACTTTCCATCTTTAGTGCTTTAGCCAAAGGGCGCACCGGACTGTTCAATGGGCTGATTGCCTTCGGAATATACCTCAAGTGATTGAGATCAATGCTTAGTATTGAGCTGTCATCATCAACAGGAACGAGGTTAGTTTCCCTCTCTTTAGTTATAGGATACATCTCACCACTGAGAGAAGATGCTGTTGGCATACTGGTATCAGCTAGGTCTGGCTCTAGATCACAAGCATTCTGATCAACTAGTGGTTCATCCCTATCAGTTATCATAGTTCTGTCCAGTGACTGGGATGTAGTCATACTAATTTTGCAGATATCCTTTTCCTCAGTGGGAGCCAAGTTGTCATCATCCCTCATTACTTGCATTAAAGAGTCTAGTTTTGTTTCAGTAACACCATCTGCAACATCAGAAGACTCCAGGTCACCAGAACTTCTGGCTTCTGATTTATCTAAGACAACATTTTGAGAGCCACATTGGTCTGCAGAGCTTTGAATGTCAGCAGCTAGCCATATTTCATCTTTCTTCCCTGCCGCTGACTCTGGAAGGGCTCCCATACTTTCATTGGCAGGTTCAGATTGTGCCACTTCTGCTGCTGGTATATTATCATCCTGCATCACACCCATCCCTGTCCCAGGCAAGTCTTCACACTCTGTCACACTCCCTGTCACCTCCAGGGGCAAAGATACAGGGTGGTTCAGCCCCGTCACTGCCATTGCTGTTACTGAGACTTCTGATTCAACCAGATCACAAGCCTCTGCAGCTTCTGACATGTCAGCCTGCACCAGACCAGGAACCAGCACCTCTGCTGCTCCTGGCAAGACTTGGGGCTGTATCTGACCCACTTCTGCTTCTGGTAAGGTTTCTGAGATTGGTTCATCAGTTTCCCCTGCTGGTAGCATTGCAGACTGTGCTGGATCTGCGGCTGTGACTTTGGAGGTTTCATTTTCAGAACTGACAGAAACAGGCAGTGCTGGTTTCATGTTGCTCTGAGCTTCACTGTCCAGAAGGTGCAGAGTTTGCTCTGTGGGACCACAGTCTACAGGGTGGGCACAATCCAAGAGTTCGGCTTGCAGTGTGAGTTCTGTTCCTCCCTTGTCAGTGGCCTTTCGAAAAGGTGTTTTAAGTCCATCTGTTGCAGAGATACATTGCTTCTTATTAGGAGAAAGAGTTAAATTTAGCTTTTCCATAAAGCTAAGTTTTAAGTCTTTGTTTTTTGTCCGACTGTAGTTATTTTTAGTTTTGGGAACTTTATGGTCTTTTAAGCTATCTGCTGCTGCAGACGTTTCTTCCAGCTTATAGAATTTGTTTCTCTTACTGTTTTTAACACTTGTACCTTTCTTGGAGTCTTTTACAGATTGATGAGAAAATTTTTTTGCAAGTTTTTTTTCATTTCTAAAATGCCTATTTTCATCCTGATCCTCTTTTTCTCTTTTCCTTTTTTCTTCGGTTCTGTGTCTTTCTGATTTGGAATGTGCTGTTTCCCATTCATATCTACTACTGCTTTCCTTCAAGCGTGCATATTTATGCTCTCTGCTGTTGGAATTAGAAGGTGAAGTTCTTCCTTCTCGAGAGATATGATCATCTGTTCCCCTGTCTCTCTTGCTGTCAGTATGTTTCACTTTTCTAGGCTCTTCCAGACGACATTTACGTGATTCATGAAGACTCTTTGAATGTTCATTCTTTGAGTGTGGACTGCTCCCCCTTCCAGGCCTCCTTGGATGTCCTTGCAGCTTTTCATTTGGTTTATTTTTTTGGCCAGCATGCTTTTCTCCTTTATCATGTATTTTAATGTCTTTTTTAAATGCATTTTGTAGTCTCTCATCAGCATACAAATCACTTCTTGTTTGAAATCTGTCTTTACCAGCTGTTTGTTTCTCCCAGGAAGAAACACCCCTTTCTACTCTTCTTTCTACATCTGGACTGCTTTTGAGTTTGATGCTCTGACTTTTTTGTTGCAAGTCATTTTTACTAGCCTTCTCTGAAAGGGTTTTCAGCTTCTGTTGAGGATCTGAACTCCCCTCTTCAGTGTCACCCTCATTTCCAGTGCTCTGATGTACTTCTCTTTTGTGTTTGCCGACATTTCCCCTACTGCACTGTTCATTATTTTTAATGTCTTTTCTTTCCTTTCTGTTATCCTTGGTGGAAGCATGGTCATAGCTCAGTGGACACATATGAGTATCATCACTGCAGAGCTCTTCAGGAGGGTATCTCAGCAAATATGGAGTGTTATTTTTTTCAGAGCCAGACTTCCCAGTTTCTGCATTATGAGCTGAGTAAGTGTGGTATGTATCTTTTGAACAGTCGCTTTTCATTCTATGTTCCATCTTTATACTGTCACCCAAATCAGAAGGTCTGAATTTGGAATCATTTGTTTTAGTTGATGCCGGAAGGTATGTTCTGGTGAAAATACTTCGATGATTGGGAAACTCTGCTAGCCTATTTATAAAAAGAAAAGAAGTTATTTATATTATTTTTGAATTTATTTAAATGTAACTAAAGCTGAACTGCAATGAATCCATATATCTCCAAAAATTGTTAACATTTTCTTTCAGTTTTAATTTTGAAAAAAACTGGAGAAAAAGAAAGAAATTTAATAATTTCCATCAGCACACAACAAAATAATATAACTTACACATTTATTTTCCAAAGGAAATTCATCTAAAGAAAAGGCAAAATGTGGGGGAAAATGCTGTATGGGGCCTAATTAACCATTTCAGTAACTCTAATTAGTATTTCATTGTCCAGCATTACAAAGAGTTTTCCTCCAGGAAAAAAAAAAAAAAAAAAGCTGTTCTTTACAGTTTTAGTGATTTAAAATAATAATAATTTAAAAAACAGCAATTCAATTATTTACTGTTAGTTAAACTGGCAAACAAAAGAATAGGTATAATGTGACTGTGCTTACTCTACCCAGTAAGCAAATATACTACCATGTTTGGAAGTTGCTGCAAGCTACAGTAAACAAGAAGTAAATAAAGATAATCAAGACTTATCAAGGCCACATGCTACTGCTGAAATGTCATCATATTAAAAATAATTTTAAAAAAATCAATTTAAAAAGGGCACATGTAGCCTGTATGGTCTAAACTTCTACTCCTTACTGACAGAATGCATCCGTTACCTCTACTGAAAAAACAAACTACTAAAAAAATCTAGCCCAATTCCCCCACAACAAAACCCACTAAAGAAACATACTTTTCTACCATATTCAACAAAACTTTTCATTAAAATAACATGATTAAAGACAATGTCAACCTTCTTATATACTTTCCACCACACAGAAAGAATTATAATGTCTAATCCATACAGAAGGAAACAGAAGTCACATCAATAAATGATGGCAGCAAACCATGAAATGTCTGGCTCCATTTTAGAGGGTCAAAGATGAAGGGGCTGCTACACAGACATTTAGTTTTGGCCGGAAATTCTACGACAATTCAGCATTCACTCATAATGATTCAATGCAAGTGTAAAATAATTCCACATTTTTCTCCAATACAAAATGGGATTGATTTTGCTTTATAAAACTGAACACTTCCTATGGGCCAATACAGTAAATTTAAATTTGAAATGAACAGCTTACAACTGGCTCTACTCCAAAAATGTGACATTGCGACGCGAACTGAGGGTTGAACACAAACAATGCTGCAGCTGTTGTAATACAATCCCCCCCCTTTCATATTTCTGTTTCATTGAAACTGGTAAGTTTTTGCTGAGCTTTAGGCTGGCTATTAAATCTATATACATGTTTGATTAATGTAATTGTATCCAAGTGGTGTTCATTTGGTGTTATGCGGTTTTTTTAATAGTTGGGTTTGGGGAGTTTTTTTGAGACAAGCACTAACAATTCCCTCAGAGGTATTAACTTCAAAATAGTCTTCACATGTAGGTGCATTTTTTAAGATAAAGTAATTTATTATAAACCATGCAGTGGGCATGGAATGTTTCTAAGATCTCAAAGTGCTACCTTCCCCACAATTTTCCAGGATGGATGCTTCCAAAATACGTAGATCAAATACCTTGGTCATAAATTTTAATCACCATCAGATGGTATTGCAATGGAACTTGTGAAGTATTTAATGAGGTTAAATATTCAAAACAATTAAACATTTTCCGAAGAATTTAATTTAAAACTCAGAACACTGCACTCAAGCGTATGAAAATGACAACCGTTGTGTCAAAGCCAATCACCTGAAAAAATTACACACATTAAAACCTCTTGACCTCAGTCAGAGTTAATATGCTTATAGCCTTCAGCTCAGTACTGTCAAATGAACCTTCTTTATGACATCTTTTGGTGCAAGAAAATACCATACGGTCAAAATAAAATACAAACAAACCAGTGATGTGGCTGATGACACACAAGTGACAAGCAGGTGACCTTGTGACAAGCTAGGGGTCCTGAATCTCGGACCCCTGCTCTGGATTGATGTGGTTCAGAAGCCATACTCTCAGGTACTCTCCCATCCATACTTTACTATTTTCAAGTGCTTGCAGTAGGACCAGTAGTACACAGAAATAACCAAGAATTCTCTAGTTGCCATCCCCACCACTGGAGACAGGGATTTCCTATCTTGACATGAAAACATTATATAATCTATGTACTTTCACTTGTTGTCTGAAAAGTTCCATGGAATTCACATCTGAGGCCATAAAACAAGACTAGTTTTGAAGCCGAACTGTGTAAGACAGTATCTGCTTTGAAATATATGAGATGGTTAGATGAATGGGAGTTAAACAAAACAAACAAACAAACAAAAATTCATGCAAATGGTCAACCTTTGGATTTCTTTTTGGTTCTTAATTAGAAACCAAAGACCTCATCAGACAAAAGATCTTTCCTCTGATTGTATCACTTTTAAACCATACAATTACTAAGTAATGATTTTTTTCACTAATTTTTTATAAAATACACACATAAATTTCTAACAAGTATATAAACATGATCAGACAAAAAACATATTTTCAGTTCCACTGTCTATTTGTACCTTTGATGGAGATGACTGATTTCTTCATCCTTACGGTTAATTTCCACCCTTGCTGTTTTGATAAGAGCTGAAATATTCTTTTTGAGGACTTGGTTTTCATTCTGTAGAATGGCATTCTATTTTAAATGTATACAAAAGAGACAACAAGAGAGAGAAGGAGAGAAAAACAAGAATTAGTTTGGGTACCCAAACATGTAATGAAAAACAGTGCAAGACAACCACTAGAAAAATATCCCACCCTTTGCAAACTGACAGAAGGACAAAGTCTTTTGGAGAAGAAGTTAGAATTACTGAGGTACAAAGAAGTTTGTAGTTTTTTTGTTTTTTGTTTTAACATCACTCACATTTATGCTCATATTTGTGTTCCTGGCAATTATTTAAAATGTCTTCCGCAATTTATTGCTTTCTTGGTCACTATGTCAAATGACATATGTAGCTTTTAAGCACTTTTGTAGAAAGAGGGTAATTGTATTTCTTTCAAGGTATAAAATCAACTTTGGGGGCTCTATCATTCTAAAATTTCTAGATATGATGTTCCAGAACCGTAACTGTAAACCCCAAAGACCTTTAGGACTTATCTGTAATATGCAGTAGAGCACATGGCAGAATTGCCTCAAATAATCTACCTCTGTAGAACAGCACAGCATGGGAACACTTGCTCAAGCTGAAGAGCACTTCAGATTTACCAAAATGGCACTATGTCCAAAGCAATGCAGACATCCTCTTCCAGTTCTAGTAACAGCTCAAGCACCTTTGTAACCCCCTCCCTAGTGCATTAAAAACCCAAGAATACTGTATACCTTTTTGACAACTACTCATTTGGCATGCTTATTTTCTAATTAAGAAAATGGAATACAGCTTCTAAGCAAATAAAGTCTTACTGCACCCAACATCATGAAAGAAACAAACGTCCCTACTAATTTTGTCAGTAGGCTATCCCAGCAGCTATCCTAGGCAGACCAAGCTCCTAGCATGTACAGGGATGCTCTACCAACCTCACAAGGATCAAGTCTGGAAAGCAAATGAAATTGCCTTCTCAAAGTAATATTCAATTTTCTTTACATAAATCTCGAACACGTTTCCCTTTGAACTACAATACCTGTGCCTGTATTTCTTTAAATTTCTTCATCAACTCTTTAATTTGCTGCTGACATTTTTCATATTCAGCCTGCAACTGTCAAAGAGAGAAAAATTCACAGCACAGAAGTGCAGAAAATGTTAGCTTCATTAGAGAGAAAACTTACATCTCTACATTTATCGTTAGTTAACACAGTACTGCATATTACAAAACTCAGTTTTTTACCCAAGAGTAACAAATTAAAGCCAAATTAAAACCAAAGGCTCCAACTGGTATACAGGTCTTTAAACCATCACAGACACTCAGATAAGAGAAAATCTGTATCTGCTTGCTTAACAGTAATAAAGAATAAATGACACGATTATCAAGGAGCAGGAGTTCTGAGAGCCAAACAGATGGGAACTTGCTTCTCAGATTTTATGTAACACAAAACAGATAAGGAAAAACATAACAAGAAATTACTACAAACAAACCTGGGCTGCAAAGGACATGATCCTGTCAGGGTCACAAAACTAAATAAAATAAATTTGGCATGAGCTCTTCTTTAAAATTACATAGGGACAAAGCCTTCACAGAAAAATGGGCAACTTCCATTCAGTCAACTGCTGTCAAACTTTCAAAGCAACACCATTCAGTTTTGGATGTTATGCTCCTGCTTCTTTCAACATTTGTGGATGTCTGCCTCTTTTACGCCTTTTAAGTGCGTTTTGTGAGCCAGGAGAGGTGGTGCTACGGAAGTGAGTGTTCTGCTGATTTGCTGGAAGCAGTTACCGACTCCATGGCTATTCTCAGTCTCAAGGACAGAACTTAAGATAAATCCATGACCTATCTGCTCTACTCTGGTAACATTTGTTGGGAGCAATGTCTTGACTAGCTTTGTGTCAGACATCTGAACAGATACCTGACTAGAGGAAAATTACATTTTCCCGTAATGTAGCTGATACATAAACTGGGTGCAAAGGATGATACATGAGAACAGACCAGGTTACAGAGTGACAGGTTCACGCATTCTAATGGGCTTGTTGACATAACAGTTTATTAGCACACTCTTGTTTTTACTTATTTAAAAACAGTTTGCCTATTTTACCAACAATGTGAGCACGTTGACAATATTTTCTGTGTTTCACATAAGAAAATTTGGAACAAAAATAACCCCAAACCAGATTTTTTTTCTACATTAATACATACCTCATCGTAGGATGCTTTCTTTGCAGTCCCTTCTTCAATTAATAACTCATCAAATAAATTTAAGCTGATTCTAGATGGAGTAGAACTTGGAGCAAAATTGTCTGTGTAAAGAAAATTAATTATATAAGGATACAGGTATTTTTCAACTCTTGCTGCATTGTGTACGCTGTTCTATACTGCCTGTGCATTTTGTTTTTACTTTTGTACTCACAAGGTAACAACACACAAAATAAAGAACAACTACATGCTTGTGACATATCATGTTGCAATAATATACACTGAGATTTCTTAAGATAGTCGACCATAAGTGAAACGAAAGTGAAATGAAAAAAAAAAACAAACCCAAACAAAAACCAAAACCAACCAGTAACCCAACACCCAAGCACCCCAAATGTTTAGATAACAGTGCTTTTTCCGCAAATCAGCCTGCGTGCTCTGTTCAGCAAATATGCATAACCGACAAGACCTGGTTCATGACACCTCTGAAATACAGATTCATTTGCAGAGAAATAAATGAAGTTAGCTATCAAAGTTGTTCTCCGATCCTTTGGACAATATCATAATGCAAAAAGCATTAACATCACACTGCAAGAGGACATACAAATAACATCTTATCTGTACAGAGCAAAAATCTCACCACTCCTCTCTTTAAATTCAAAAAACCAAGGTCCTTCAGAGCTGGACTATATAGACTGTTTTCACTACACTGTTATTCCTCCTTTTAGCTTTTACGTTTACTAAACAACATATCTCCATATGTGAAATATCGACCTAAGAAATGTAAAATGAAAAGCAAAGAAGATATATAGACACTTTATGTCCGTAGAGTCCTCCCATAAAAATTCAATGGTCTTATAGCAGTAAGGTCAGTAGAGAAATAATTGCTTAAATATCAAAATGCCCTTCAATTGAAAAGTACACTCAGGCTCCTAAAAAAGAACACACTGGGTTCACTTCTTTCTTACCTTCAAAGAAGGGAAATTATTTACATTAGCATGTCAAATTATTTGGAAAATAACAAAAGGTTAAAAGGGTCTCCTGAACTTACTGTATCACACAAGAAGTATTTTTTGCCTCTCTCACTGGAGATTTAGTGATTGGTGACTGTTTGATCTGGTCATGGAAGCTTACAAAAACACAAAATGAAGGTGTTTTTTCCAAGGAAAAAATGTCCTATATCAAGTCCAAGTGTCTTAAAATACCCAATATCACAGGAAAAACGTCTTTCATTCATTCAGCGAATAAATTTCAGAATTCTGTGCTTCATTAAAACAATCTAACACGTCTTGAATTTTAACAAGTAAGTCAAAGCTAAACCCACTTGTTTTACCTGAAATCAGCCTAAGAAGCAGACTCTATAATCCTCCAAGCCAAACAGCACGACATAATCAACCTACCAGAAACCGACAAACTGCTGTCCAAGCCATCATAAATATCCACTGAGCTGTCGTCACCTTCCTTGAAGGGAGAAGCTTCAGCTAAAGCAATGAAAATAATAAAAAAAATAAAATAATGAAAATAAAAATAAAAAAAGAGGCCAAAGTAATAATTTAATCAACTCCAACCTCTACCTTTCCCATAAAGTAAGTGTAGCTGTGGTCCTAGAGCAGAAGAGAATAGTAAGAGTAATAGCACAGACTAGTAAAAGACAAGGGAATTTTATCCAGTAATCTACTGCTACTGTGGAGAAAAGATCTTAAGTCATCAGGGAGCGAGGACAATCTTGTAAGATCAGTCCCTAAATATAAGAATTGTGCACAAAGCAAATTATGTGGTTTTAGGTACAAATACATTTTAAAATTATAAATTAAATAAACTTTGAAATAAAATTTGAAATTGTTTTCTAGAATACACTGCATACAAAAGCTATACAACAAAAAAACCAAAAGAATTGATGTGATAAAACCACTACTGTTAAAAAAAACATCTCTTGCTAAAAAGAAAGTACTGTAGCAGTCTGTATCATAATTCAAACAATTTGCTTTAGTATTGCCATCTACTCACACACTAACTGGTTCTGTAAACGTATTTTAATCTAAATCTCCTCAGTCTCTCTTCATGTCTTTTTCCAATGCCTCTTATGACTCTCGTCTCCTCTATGTGAACCTCTCCAGTTCTGCAACAAACATTATTTCTATAAA